TCATTCTGGGCTTTCTGTTGGATTTATAATTTAAACAGAGGAAGGCACTGAAACAGTTTTTGCCTTGTTTATTCTTTTTACAAACAACATTCCTTTGTAGTTTTAGTCAGAGATTTACACTCTTTGCTAATCAACACCAAAATAAATAGACCCTTAAAACTGTCAGTGACGCCAGCCAGTTCTGCAGCCTGAGTTCTGAAGGACCAGGCCAGATGGCAAAGCCAGCCCCCCAATACACATAATGTGTGTTCTGTAGCTCTTGGCTTCAGCAGCTTGGGCAGCTGACTGCTTTTTAGAAGGCTTAGGGGGGAGGGAGCAGATTCTCCACTATCCGTTTGTTCTGTGGGGCATCTCTAGGAATAAACCCTAAGGTCACATGGGTGGTACTTGACCGTGGTTAAAACCTGTAGTGTATTGGCCCAGGCACAGGCTGGAAATTCTGAACTCCTGGCTGGCCACCAGCGTGTTCTGTGATTGTGTTCCGGTCATGAAGCTTCCCTCTAGGCTCCCTGGTGTGTAAACTGGGGGGTAGAGCTGCCTGTGTTTCTGAATTTTCAAGTCCTGTAGCAGGAGGTGTTGCTCAAATACGTGGGTGCAATGAGGGTGTGAGTTCATCTTGCACAGGTCTGACGGACAGGACAGAACCTTCCTTCTGTTCAACTGGATATTGTCTCCACGCTATTGAGAAATAGCATTCATTGCCATACGTGTAGCGATGGTTCCCCTAGACCCTGGGGAAGTTTATTTTAAGTGTAGCTGAAATATTGTGCTCTGAGCATCCACATAGATAATTAACCAATAGACTGCCTGGACCTCTCAAAGGCGGATTATAAGCGGTTCTGATGTGAGTGCCCTTCGTCCCTCCCCTCCAGGAGATTGCTTTTTTTTCTTTTAAGCTCATAAGATTACACTGATAGTATATTCTAGGTCCGCAGAGGACAGAATAACTCACTGGATCAAATAAATTTTTACATGCCACAAAACATGTAAACAAGGATTTCTTATCAGTTCTCTCATAGAAAGAACGCAGAGATAAGCCATATCCTTTGCAGACCCTTTGCTTTTGTGGAGGGCATCCTTGATCGTCGAGCAAAATTTTAGAAGCTGTTTTTTGAGAGAGGATTTGAATGAAGAAGAGACAGCTACACATGGTATAGAGGGAGTTACCCCTTTGGACCTTCATATATTGTCTGTGGGACCCTCTCCATTCACTCATACCCTCCGAACATTGAAGATGGGTGTTAGAATGGAGTTGTTTAGATGCTGTTGTGTTTACAAGGGACGCTTGTTTTTTCTTGTGACTCCTCTTGGTGCCCTGTTGTCACTCACCCTGCCCCCTGAAGCGTGGTGTGGCTCCCTATAGCTCTGTGCTAAACTAAAGTGCTGGGTTAGAACCAGCTCAGCATTTGCCTGTTTACTGCTTCTCTGCACATTACAGCTTCCTTACTTCAAATAGTGTCTGAAGAGACCAAAAACATGTTTTTGACTGTCATCCAGAGCTTGGCTTCCGCTTCCCCAGTAATGCCATAAAAATGCTCTGTCAAATAAATTCTCAGGAACTGGAAAGAACAAATTCCCTGCTCCATATGATTGTAGATAATAGAGGCAGGCTTCAGCTGACCGCTTGGCCTGGTGCCCGTGGCCTAGGAAAACCGAATCACACAACATCCCTTGGCAGTGCTTTGTGGCAATCAGAGTTAATTCTCTGCATGTGATGGATGAGCTTTCCATTGAAAGAAATTTGCACATAGCATTTATCTCCACTGCCTCTTTTGAATTCCATAAAATATTATCTTTCCTTATCCTGTTGCCAATTAGTCTGTATTCTGAAGTTTTTGAACCCAGGATTAATTTACTGTTGAGTAAACTTCCAGTGTCAACCATGGACAGAATCCTCCTATGATTTGGGGTGTGTGTATGTTTCCAGAGCAATGTTTCCCTTTCCCAGCCTGTGTATTATAACATCCTTATTATTCAGGATTCTAGCTGGAAAGAGATGGCACATTCAAAATAGGATAATTTAGGGAGGGTTTATTTACACAGGGACTATTTAAGAAAGTGAGAGTGTGTGAGGGAGACACAAGGGGTAGTTTATAACCCACTGGAGCTGTTACTCCCTCTAGACCAGAAGGGAGGAAAGAAAAGGGGCATTACCAGAACCTAGGAGGAGAGAGTCATGTAGAGAAGGCTGCCTTCACGATGGCCTGCAGTAGAGACTGCCTGGCAGTACAGGCTGCTCGTCCCTTCTCTCCCTCTAGTCTCCTGTCAGGGCTCCCCATTGGCTGACACAATCAGAAGCCAGGAGGCGCGGGAGCCCTTTGATTTGGTCCCCCCAGGTCAGCTTGCCAGGGTGGAGAGCAGAGTGTGGATGTGGAGGGCACATGGGAAGCCTCTGGCACATAGCCCAGTGTAGGTGTCCAATTATTTCTAGGGTAGGCATAAACATCTCAATAGAAAACCTAAACTCACTTTTATTTTTAAACAGTTTTATTGAGGTGTGATTGACATACAATAAACTGTACATATTTAAATTATACAATTTGATAAGTATTGATGTGTATATGTCTGTGAAACCATCACCACAATCAAGAGAGCAAACATATACATCACCTTCAAAATAAACCCGCTTTAATTTAACATTGAAGATATTCCGTATGGTTCTTTTAGGAGGGCATGGAAGGGTATCGTAAAGTCAAGTGACAGCAGGTGCAATTCCAGAGTGTTGGCTCTGGAAAGACACAAAAAATGAAAGTCAAGATGATGTCAAAGCCTGTGAGAAAGGCTTTTATTTAATAGCAAGGAGCTTATAACAAATTAGAAAAAACAATTGTGAGTTTGAAAGGGTTTTTTGGTCTCTACTTTGTATTTGTTTATTGCCACATATTTAAAACAAAAGAAGACAAAAACCTGTGAGTCTGTCCGGTCTGAGTAGTCAGTATTTAAATCTCAGAAAATCAGTATAAATCAGTATTTAGTAGCAGCACCAGGAGCACTGTAGATCAGTCGGTCATTCCAGTATGCATTTTATCTGATATCACCACAGCATGCTCCCGGGGGCAGGCCCAGCCTTAGGTGCATGTTCTCTAGAGTGCCACCCCGTCTCCACGATGTGTTGTTGGTAACAATGCTTATAGTTATTAACATGACCATTGTTGAGGGTTTAGTGTGTGCTTGGTGATAGAGCCAGGGTGGGATTTAATTCTCTGACCTTTATGCTATTCTGCTTTAAATTATAAAAAGCCAGTAAATCATTTGCAAACACATTTTTCACCATTTATTAATAATTGCTTGCTACCCCTCTGACAGCTGATGGAGGCGCCAGAGAGTCATGGCCTGGGTTGAGAACTGGGACTGTCAACCTTCGGTGTCCTCTGAGCCCCATTTATTCTAGAGAAATCGGGAGTGCCCAGCGCTACAGAAAGCTGACATCCAGTGCAGAGTTGAATGTGAGACCCCAGCCCCACTTCCTACAAAGAAGAGAACCTCCCTGGCTAAGCCAGGACAAAGGGTGGGCTGTGAAGTTTTAGGGCACGGAGGGCTTGGGCAGGCAGGGAGGGAAGCTCCTGGGGACCCCAGTTGTGCCCCAGCAGGGGCTGCAGTGGCATCCATCAGCACAGGAGCTGTGACAAGGGCCACACGGCTTTTGTGCTGGCCTTCAAACTCGCCTAGAAGTTCATGTCTGGGGCCTTTGCACTGCTTATTCCTTATGCCTAGATTGCTCTGCCCCAGATTTTTGCAAGGCTCTCTCTCACTCTCTCACTTTGTTCAGATTTCTGCTCAAATATCTCCTCCTCGGAGAAGCTTTCTTTTGCTGCGCTCTCTAAAGAACGCCTCTGTCGCTCTGTCCCTCTCCTGCTTTATTTTCCTCATAGCAGTGATCACTGTCGGACATTATAGCATCAGTGCTCAAACTGTTTGGTCATAGGACCTCTGCATATACTTAGAAATTATTGAGGACCCAAAGAGCTTATGTTTAGGTGGGTTATACATTTTAAAATTTACTGTACCAGAAATTAAAAGAGAAATTTAAAAATACTTTTTATTCCTTGAAAAATAACAATAATAATCCTATTGCATGTTAACATAAATAACATGAAAAATAACTATATTTTCCAAAACAAGAGAATTATGTGAGAAGAGTGACATTGTTTTGTGTTTTTGTACGTGTCTATTAATAGAACGTAGCTAGATTGTTACATCTGCTTCTGCATTCAGTCTGTTGCAAGATATTGTTTTCGTAGAAGTTGATGAAGAACATCCAGCCTCATACAGATATGTAGTTGGAAAAGGGAGGGTTATTTTAATAGCCTTTTTATATAATTGTGGATGTTCTATTTTAATATGACACCAAGACTCAACAAGTGATCATTTCTTAAAGGCTAGTTGTCGTGTGGGCTTTGCATCCTGGGCATACTTGGGTGAGCTACTCCCAACCTGTGGGTCAGGTGGCCACTTTTTTTTTTTAAGGAAAAGTACATCACTGTCTTTTGAAATTATGGTTTATGTAAAGTGGAATAAGAAATGCAGATTATCACTTTTATTATACTGTTGAATAACTCTTAAAAAAAATCACCAAGTCTTGACAGATTACAGAACGTCCTTCTAATCAAACATCCACTTCTTGTGTGCATAAAAATTGGAACACTTTTTCTTTGGTAGATCTACACTTCATATTATGGCTACTTTTTTGAGGTAGGAAGTGAAAACTTAAGGCTCTAACATAGAGCATTGATAAATTTGTTGAAATATATTGAAACTTGTTGAAAATATCTAATGTTTGTTAGAGAGCTTTTATTCATTTTTTCAAGTCCTGTTTATGTCCATTACCTTATTTGAATACGAGAGAAAAGTGCCTTTGAGAAATATCCTTAAGCCCATACAGGAATAGAGTTAAACATTCAAGTCGACAGATATGTCCAGTAAATCAGGCAACCACTTTATCTGGTTGTTCAGAATGTCTCAACATCATTAATCCATAATTTTATGTTTATCTCTTTAAGATCCACACAGGTTTACAGCACCAAATAATCTGGCCCTGTCAGCCCAGCTGCATTCCTCTGGATGAAAAACTCCTGCCCCAGCTTCTAAAAGAAGCAGGCTACACTACGCATATGGTCGGAAAATGGCACCTGGGAATGTACCGGAAAGAATGCCTTCCAACCCGCCGAGGATTTGATAGCTACTTCGGTAATGGAAATGCACGTTGTTTCTTTAACAGCTCAGACTAAGTACAGCCATCTCGTAAAACACACCCAAGTGTAATCAAATGAAGTACCTGGAAACTTGAACACAGAGTGGATCAGTCAGCACTGCCGTGGGGCCGCTTTCTAATGCCACCTCCGTGTACATGGCTCTGTGCTCAGCTCATGGCGGGCATGAGCCCACGGAGAGGCACTTACCTTTGCCAGGGTACTGAATGCCATGTTGGGGCCTTTGAAGAGTGTGCTACTTTCACATCCGAGACCATTGTACTCTTAGAGAACCTTATTACCAAAAGGGGATATGGATTGATTTTTTTTTTTAATTCCAGGAAAAACTCAGTACGAGAATGTTTCCTTCACAAAGGTTCAGAATATTTCTTCCCCATGGACTGTGTTCAAAAATTTTTTTTTTCCTGGAGATGGTGGAGAAGACTCTTTTCTATTGGCGTCCTTCTCCCCTTGTGAAATATGTTTTTTGAAATCACTAGATTGGGGAAGATAAATCAAAAAAATAAAATGAAAGGGTAAATAACAAATGGTAATAGGAAGGATAATAAGAAATAAAAGAAGTATTTTATGGACTTGATAACCTTATAAAAATAAATGTGAAACCTAAGTTTGTTTTAAAATGTGCCCTCTTTTAACCTGTTACAAACCGTGTCTTAATGAACGACCAATTTATCTTGCCAGTGGCTGTATATCTTTCTGTCAAGTTCTTTTCATTTTGAGCTATCTTTCTGTCTAGCTATTCAGCTACCTACCTACTTCCCATTTGTCTCTTCATTTATTTACAAACTGCCATATCCAAAAAGTAACACACATTGAATATAAAAAGTTTAAAAATAAATAGAATGAAAAATCAGGATGAGTAGAAAAAGATAGAATAGTCGCATGACACCAAATTACAAAAAAACTGCATGGCTCTAGGCAGGCTTCACATTCAACTCTGAAATTCGAGATTTCTTATGTTCAAAAAAAAAGAAAAGGAAAAGGCTACAAGAGTCACATTATTTGTAAGATGAATGGAAACCAGATGTTCAGGAAGAGTAAGGCATTTTCTGGCTCTTAGACCTGAGAGAAATTTCTCCCTTGGGAGAAGGCGAGGTGGACAGCATCCTCAAAAATGTCATTTAGTAATAAAGTGGCGGTTTTCTTGTAGATGTTTCTTGAGGCATTCCCTTTTATTCATGCTAGGGCCAAGCTCCAAAGTACATTTCAGGAAAAGTGATTATACGGGTCCCAAACAGTGCGGTGGAGGCACACAGCTGCGTAGTGCCTTGTTGGGTCCTGGTTAAAGTCGAGATGCAAGGACATCAGACATGAGACCGTGTTCTCTGGCAGACATGGTTAATCGATCATGGCATTCTTTCCTCATGAACCTGGATAGATCCTCAACATCCTCAGATAGCAGTTAAAAGTCGGACTTGGGTGTAAGACCTCTTTGTCATCTTGGAAATTCTAGAGGAAAAAATAGCCTGTACATCCCTTGAAAAATATCAATCAGGCCTTTGCTAAAAGATGGGTCAATACCTAACTCTGGCAAGAGGAAGGAAGGACTATGGATATTTTTTATTTTTCTGTTAATTTTTCTATTAGGGTCAAATTTTATATTTAAAAATTCAACTGGACAGAAGGTCAATGATATCCTTTTATGAGAACTAAGAAGGCTAACTGGGGATTAGATGCACAGACACCCCACATTCCTGTGGAATGGAGACTCACAGACAAGGAGGGTATAATGACCATCAGCTACTATCACTGTTCTGACTTAGATGTTGTGGTAAAAAGCAGTCAGACAATTATGGAGCTGGTTGCACAACTCTGTGAATACACTAAAAACCATTGAATTGTATGTTTTAAATAAGTGACTTGTATGGTACTTGAATTATATCTCAATAAAGCTGTTAAATAAGGCAGTCAGAGACTTAGTTGTTCAAAAATATTTCCTCATTTTCCCCAAAAATCGTAGGCTGCCATCTTCTTTAAGCTTAGCATGTAAGTTCAGATTTGTGAATCACTGTTATGAGAAAAGCTCTGTGTGATTGTTACATGGTTCCTTGGTATCAGTTTGGCCAAGTATGTCAATATATAGTTCTATTTCTGGAATCCTGCTATTTGTAATATCTTTTTAATATTTATAGTTCATATACCTTTTTTGTTGTCTTTTTTGATGAGGAAGATTAGCCCTGAGCTAACATCTATTGCCAATCCTCTTTTTGCTGAGGAAGATTGGCCCTGAGCTAACATCTGTGCCCATTTTCCTCTACTTTATATGTGGGACATCTGTCACAGCCTGGCTCGATAAGCAGTGCGTAGGTCTGTGCCCAGGATCTGAACCTGCGAACCCCAGGCCGCTGAAGCAGAGAGTGCAAACTTAACCACTATGCCAAAGGGCCAGCCCCTAGTTCATACACCTTTTAATCAAGTATATCCTATGCATATATTCTCCCAAATGATAGGAAACAGTTTACATTTACAGATAAAGAACCTGAGTGATTTCCTCAAGCTCTAACACCTCGTCGTCATTAAAAACCCCACGTAGAACCCCAGGGTCCTCACCCTTCTGATCACCCATACAAGGCTGAAATTATTTTTATGGATACATTTCTTTATTACATATTAATTGACAAACATATTGGATTTCCCTTTCTGTTATACATGTAGGAGAAAGGATTACTGTTTAAAAAGTTAAGACCGACGTATTCATTGTATTCAAGACCTTGAATTTAGTGAATCATAGAAAAGGAGATTGATTAAAAATGAATTCATTTATTATGTAAGCAGATTAATTAAAAATGAATTCATTTATTATGTAAGCTGTATGGGACTTTTGGTTGTGATCCCAGGGAACATTCAGGACTGGGGAAAGGGCTAGGCCATTTTTATCATCCTCCTTTTAAGGTTAATAAGTGCTATTTGTCGGGCCATAGCTCAGAGTCCACAGCTTATTTCTTTTTAATAGCTGTATCGAGGTGTAATTCACATACCATCCAGTTCACCCAATAAAGTATATAGTTCAGTGAGTTAATAAATTCACAGGGTTGTGCCACTGTCATCACAATCCAATTGTAGGACATTCCATCACCCTAAAAGAGAAACCCCATCCCCATTAGCAGTTGCTCCCCATTTTCCCCCAACCCTGCCAGCCCTAGGCAACCACTAGTCTGCTTTTTGTCTCTATAGATTGTCCTACTCTAGACATTTCATGTAAATGGAATCGTACAATATGCAGCCCAGCTTTTTTTGTTGTTTTTTGGTGAGGAAGATTGGCTCTGAGCTAACATCCGTTGCTAATCTTCCTCTTTTTGCTGAGGAAGACTAGCCCTGAGCTAACATCCGTGCCCATCTTCCTCTATTTTGTATGTGGGAGGGCACCACAGCATGGCTTGATGAGCGGTGCATAGGTCCGCGCCTAGGATCCGAATCTGTGAACCCCAGGCCGCTGAAGTGGAGCATGCGAACTTAACCACTACGCCACTGGGCCGGCCCCAGCACAGCTTATTTTAATATTTTAGGAAAATATGGAACATTTGCAGAAACAACTATTAGTTGAGAAAACCCATTTCCTTATATGTTTAAGTCTAAATTGTGGGATAGGCAGTTGATACCATTTAAATTTGTGGCAAAATTGAGATCACCATAGGTAGAAAAATCTGATTTCAGTGCCACATGTTATTTTGATGGTTTGGCCCTAAGTTATGCCGAGACATCCTCTGTTTGGAAAGGTTTGTATCTTTCACCAGTGGGTGTCAGCATCTAACTAAAGATGATTTCTCCTAGAACTGCTTCTATAAATAACCTTGAAGCCAGTCTCCCAAGGTCAATGTTAACATTATTTGAATCCTGCCTTCATTCATGTGATCATCTCAGAGTAAAAACTTGTAACAAATCACATTAACCACATGCTGTTTTAGCTGTTAGATAGCTTTAAAAGATTACAATGTTATCACCTTTACTGAATTTGAATTCTGATATTTTTAAACATATTTATGTGGAATCACCCACTTTGAGAGTTACATGATAGAGCTTGTGTTCTAAGACTTGACTGAGGAATGGGCTTGGATTTTTTTACAATGACATTTTAATGCCTTCTGCTAGCAAATATAGAGATGTTAAGAAATGGTGCTCTCGTGAACCTTGTCATTTGATTTGCCTTGTCATGGGTAATCAATTGCATTAGGCAATTAAATGCTGAAACATTAGTTTGTTTAACAAGTTCTATGCTGTGCTACTTTCATCTCCCATTCTTGTTGTAGGGTATCTCCTAGGTAGTGAAGATTACTATTCTCATGAGCGCTGCACATTCATCGAGGCTCTGAACGTCACACGATGTGCTCTTGATTTTCGAGATGGTGAAGAAGTTGCAACAGGATATAAAAATATGTATTCAACAAATGTATTTACCGAAAGGGCGATAGCCCTCATAGCTAACCATCCACCAGAGAAGGTAAGTCTTACTTCTTTATTGATATCAAAATTGTGTTCAGATAGCATCTCTTCAGATGAATAGAGGAAAACACTGCTGTCGTTTAGGGAAAAATCTAATAAAGTCTAGGGGAGTAGTTTTCAAATTTTAGTGTACATCAGTATCAGCCTGGGAAGCTTGTTAAAATTAGAAATTCCCAGAGCCCACCTCTAAGCATCTGATTCATTGGGTCCAGGGGAAATTCATACATCAGCATTCTAAAGAAACTCCTCCAGGGTGATTCTGCTGCAAGTGGTCCCCAGGTCACACTTTGAGGAATACTGTGACTATAGTGTTTTTGTAGAGATATAGTCTTACTATTTTGGTGTATTATGTGCATGTGCTATAAGTAATTAGTAAATTGACTTTTTTTTAATGATAGGCTTATGTACAAGATGAGGCTTTGTTCTGGCAAACTTTCTGTTAGGAGATCAACAAACTTTACGTTCAGGGCAAAACCTCTAATTAGGTATTTTTCCCCCCAAGATTATTTTGGCTATTCTAGATATTTGCATTCCTATGTTAATTTTAGAATCAGTTGGTCAATTTCTACCAAAAAAAAAGTGCCTGCTTAGATTTGGATTTCACTGAACCAGTAGACCAACTTGGGGAGAATGGACTCTTAACGGTATTGAGTCTTCCGGGGTGTACTGATGGGTCTGTTCTTCACATGTACCATACTGAAGCTGTTGTGTATGTCATGTGTATGTTGTGTACGTGCTGAAATCTTTTAACTTATCTATAGGTAAAAATAGAAAAGAGTCTGAATAGCCTTAAACATTTTTTTGTTAACCTAGAGTTAACCGCATGAGCTAAAGCTCAAGCTAAATTCTCTGGATTTTGCTTATAAATACCTTTAAAATTGGGTCAGATATTTGTGTTGTCAGATATTGGGCTCACAATATGGCTACATTAAGAACTGCCTCAGTACACCCAGGAAATTAGTCCTTCAACAGGACCTGACATAGCAAACTACAGAATGTGCCGTGTTATCTGGTTCTTCCAATGTCCTGCACTTGGCCTCTGAAGGTCCTCAGTGCAGGTCAGAATTTGGATTCTGGTTTATATACCTGTCCAGACCAGGTGCCTGGCCGATGACTCCCTTTCTGACGTGGTTGCTTCCTGTTCTGTCTAACTCAGTAGTGGGGGTCTGCCCCAGTGTCTGTCCTCAGCTTTGCCCCACTTCTGGCTTTTTATCTCTCTTGCATGCTGACATCTTGGAGTGGCCACGCTTGTGTGGGTCATGGAAGAAACTGGAATATTCTTTCAAATATGTAGACATATGCAGATTTTAAATCTAGATCTAAACCAATATTCAGGTTGTTGGAAAGATAACTGCTCAGTCATTGGCTTACGTTCTCAGTTGTCTTCTGTATGCTTGGCATTTTATAGGTACAGCTAAAAACCCAAAGAACAAGATAAAGTCCAAGGGAACCGCAGTCCTTGTCCTGCCCTTTGAGGGAGGCGCCATTTTACAGATAAGCAAACTGGGTTAGAGAGGTTAAGTAACTTGTTCAAGGTCACAGAGTTATTGAAAGTCAGAATCAGAGTTTAAACCCACGCTGTCGGACTCCAGAGCTCAATGCTCTTAACAAGCCTCCCTAGTTCATAGTTAATATCCAAAACCAGAGATTGTGAGCCTCAGTGTGTGATTCAGTGTGATGATTCCAATCCTGACAGTATAAAGGGATCATCTGGAAAGCTTGTAAGACATACCAATTCCAATATTGTGATTAATCTGTCTGAGGTGGGACCCCATCACTGCTATTTAATTACCCCTCCGCCCCCGTCTCCCACCAGTGATTCTGATAAGCAGCCACTATTGACTCCTCTCAAACACAGAGTGGCGAGCAGAAGCCAACTGCCTTTTATAGGTTCACAGTGTACCACCACCTTAATCATGCAACAACTATAATGTGCCTACAATAAAAATTAGTTCCCATTAAGGAACAATGGAGTATTCTCTCACAGTGCCCATAACATGAAGCGGGTAAGAGGAAGCAGCCGGGGTGAAACCATTCTTTGTGGGTGGGCTGTCTTTACTGGTGTAGTGGGGAAAGCACAGGAATTGAGGAAAATTGTCGGCCCTGAGAGCTCACAAGCCATCCAGACTAGTTATTGGTATGGTGCTGCTCATAGGTAACATTCTGGAAACTGCCAGATGAGAGGTGGTCATTCTTCTACAATGTCTGAAATCTCTGAAGCAGTATCCAGCATTCCCAACATCCTCCAAGTAAAGTTTTAAGCATAGACATAAATAAATGAAATCATCAGTAGTTGAGTAATAGCCCCAGAAAGTCTAAGACAGCAAATGCAGGTCTTTACATTTTCAATTCTCAATAAAATGATGCATCACACGGTTCCAGGAGCTGCACTTTTCATCATCTTTTCCCCATGTTGTGTCTAATTCTGTGCTAATTTCTCAGGTGCAATAAATAGACCGTAACACAGGCAACTTGTTCTAAGATGGAAATCATTAAAGAAGTTCACTCGAAGTATCTACAAGTGAACTTAAAAATGTGCCTATTTTAAAGAGCATTTGAGGGGAAAAAAGCCTATGGAGCTGTTTTGTAACAGAAACACGGTTGGTGGAGTCAGGCAGATACTGGTAATAACCATTGCACATGTGTTGGGAAGGAATCTCTTTTCTCTCTTTCTACAGGATAATTCCCTTAGTACTAACACTACAGTGTGAAAGTAGCATATTCATAAAATATCTTTTAGTTAAAAATAGCCCCCCTCGGGCTGGCCCAGTGGCACAGTGGTTGGGTTCGGCATGCTCCGCTTCAGTGGCCTGGGGTTCTCAGGTTCGGATCCTGGGCGCAGACCTCTACCACTCATCAGGCCTTGCTAGGGCGGTGTCCCACATACAAAATAGAGGAAGATGAGCACAAGATGTTAGCTCAGGGCCACTCTTCCTCAAGTAAAAAAAAAAAAAAATAGCCCCCCTCAACACTTTGTAGAAAAAAAATAAGTGTTTTCTCACACACCTAATCTACTAGAAACAATGTGAATTTTTAGTGGTAGACTCTTACTTTTCCCTGACACAATTTGGAAAGAAATGTCTTAATTTGGAATTCAAAGAGAATAACAATTTAAAAACATATCATATGCTTTAAAAAAATTTTTATACTTTAAAATAGGAAAATATACTAAAGAAATGAAAATAAGGCTTTGTTCTTCACTGCAATTAGGTTTCTTAGCATGGTGAGGATGTTTAGAGTCTATATCTTAGGAGTCATATGGTGTAATAAGAAAGAGACATGAACTCTTAGCATCTTATTAATATGCTAATAACTTTAGGTAATAATGTTATACTTTTATGTAATACTTAAACATGTGGTCATGATTTACATCTAGGATTCCGTTTGATATTCCTAAGAAACCTGAAAAGGTTACAGTTAGGGTTGATGTAAAGGCAGTAGCTGTAACTGGGTTGGTCAAAGTAGGAATCTGGACCCAAGAAAGAGCCAGGGAGAGATCAGGGTGCAGCATTACCTGGAGATCCTTGGAGATCAAAGTGCGTCCAGGACTCCAGTGTTTTGAAGCGGGTGTCAGTACGGTCAGAATGGGCTGGCAGGTCTCCAAAGACCAAGGTGTGATTGGGTTGGAGCTCAAGTCAGTAGACAGCATAGTAATAATGAGCGCATGCCCAGGATGGCAGCTCCTTGCTGTAGGCTAACAGTGAGCTGAGTCCCTCGTTGGCAGGTGTGGGGAAATTGGCTACTGCTGTTCACTGGGAGGGTCTTAGGACACGTGGCTGCAGGTGGGGTCCTGATTGTGGTTGGAGAACTTAGGGCCCTAGTTAACTGTTCTTCCCACTGGGCCACCATGTAGTACTAAGAACGGTACTCTGTTAACTTTTTTTCAATTTAAAAATAGTATAGAAATGCTTCATATCTAGCACTATTGGGGAATGAGTTGTTTCACATATAAAGGTCACCTTGTCAGTGCTGAAACTTTATTTTTAGAATGTTGGATGGAAATGCTCTATAATGTGTTACATTGGTCCTTGTGTCATTAAATGGACTGCACTATGCATCATTCTGCCTCCTCCTGGTGACCTGGAGCCATATTGATGTGTGTAAGGCTGTTTGCCCATATACTCAATGGCCCTAGATTACTGCTGATGAAATGGGAAAAAAGATAACTTGTTTTGTTCAAGGAATGCCTGTATCTATACTTGTAAGCTATAAGGATCTGGTCGGCAGGTAGTGCGAGGCTTTTGCATGGCCTGTGACAGTCACAGGACAGGCTGGGTCTCATCCTCAGAGGTTGTTTTCACTTCCTTTTCTCAGTTATGCCCCTTTGGTTTGAACTAACAGAAGCCTGACCACTGAAAAAATGGGAGAATTTCCATAGTTTTATCATTTTAACCCCTCAAAAATGATGGTCACTCTTTTAGCCACTAGAGAATAATTATGGGAAAGATTTTCAGGTAAGTTTTTGCTATATTTAACAAAGTGAGTAGAATGATTTCCATACTGAGTATTTATAAGATCCTTTAATGATGGTCCCAGAATCATTATTTTTTTCCCTGTCATGGTTTTAAGGACTCTCCCCCACCACCCACCCGCCCGTTGCCTCTGGGAGTCACTGGCTGGCTGGGGAGCACCTACCCCCTTTCCCCTTTCTCTCCTTCACCCGGTGAGTGGCCGTGTTGCTGCTGCTGACCTAGTGAGCGTGTCTCCTTAAGCCATGCGCTCTCTCTCGTTCCTCCACCCCTGCCCGCTGCAGAGAGCCCAGACTGGGGTCACAAACTCGCATGTGTACAAGGGTCGGGCTCCTAACCTACATAAGTGAAGCCACTCAGTAGAACAATGGGGAGACTCTAGAAAACTGGAGAGCACTTGGGATTGGGGTCTCTGTTTCTCAAAGTCCAGCTATTTGTTACCAGATGGAGTGTGGGCGTGGAGTTGTCAGAAGTTCTGAGTTTTCAAGAAAATTAAAACAAAAGCTAACAGATTTTTATGTGCTATTTCCTGATTTAAAACTTCATGTGGGCTGCAAATTGCTGTAGGCTTGCAGTTTATAATCCTGTCTCCAGCTAGACCCCAGCTGGTGGCTGGGGTTGGCTTAATCTAGTGCTAAAAGACCCCCATGGCTGCTCCCACCGCAGACTCTCGCTGCTCTGTTGGTCACTGATGCCCCAGCCCAGGCTCCTTCCTCACCACTGGGCGGAGCATCTGCTGGATTCCCTTCCCCACGGTCTGGGGCAACACAGAAGTTTCCGTGTGACCTGTGTGGCTGGAGTAGAAAGTGCATGTTGAGGGGGAGCGGAGGCAGAGCTAGAGTAGTGTCAAAGCTTTTTGTGTAGACTTTCGGAGTTGGAATTTGGGATGTTTTCCCCTGGAAATAATGTACAAATGAAACGTAGGTTCTGCATTATCACGGTTTTCATTCTGTCACCTACTTCCTTAGTTAAATGGGTTTTAAATTGATAACTTTGATATTTAACAGCCATTTTTAGCATTTTAATTTGGGGAAAAGGTTCCAAAGATCTGAACTACAGGTAATCTTTTGGGTGTCTATTTGAGCTCCCAATTTTTGTACACTCCTTACTCTATCACAGGGATGTGTAATATATAATTTAAAACCCTCACCTGCAGTCTGCTTTCTAACTTTTCCCCATCCATTTATGAGACTTAAATGCCTCAAATACTTTAACAGAATTTTGTATTTATTCTTGGGTCGAACCAGTTATTGTCTTTTTGAGGGTTTTCGACTCATTAAAGAATTCTGTACGAGCACAATGAGGAGAGTGCTCTCAGAAAGGCTCATCAGAAAGGAGAGGCTGACTGGGATACCACTGACATTGGATGCTGTAAACTGATGTAAGAGGTAAAATTGAATCAATCTATCACATCTTTAGTTTCCAGGAGTTAAATTGGCCTTATTTTTGGTCCTGATCAAAGACTAACAAGGCATCGTATTCACTTGTTTTTTTATAAAATGACAAAAATGCTTAACCCTCTTCTAAAAGGTGTGATCTTATTTTTCAGCTAAAGCAAAAAGTTAAAGCATCTCTTTGATACATATCCACAGCGTAATAGTGGAGTTTCCCATAGGAAATTGCTCTGCAATTAATATGAACTTGGGCAAGTCATATAACCTTTCTAAGCCTCAGTTAACTTATCTGTAAAATGGGTGTAACATAGGGTTGTTTTGAGTATTAAATGAGGTAGAATATGTAAATCTTTATAGTACCTAGCACATAGATAACATTTAATATGTGGTTGTTATTATTAATATTATTATTATTAGTTTGGATCAGAGCCCTCTACGCCATTTTAGAACTCAAGCTTTTATTTTTAACTTTTTGTCTTGTGTCTTTTGTTACATTTTTTAACATCTTTCTTGAGACATAATTCACATACCATAAAATTCATCCGTTTAAAGTATACAATTCAATAGTAAATTCAGAGTTGTGCAACCATCACTACCATCTAAGTTTAAAACATTTTCATTACCTATTAGCAGTACCTATTAACAGTCACTCACCATTCCTCTCCTCCTACCTCCCTACAGCTCCAGGCAACCACTAATCTACTTTCTGTCTCCATAGATTTGCGTCTTCTGGCCATTTCATATAAATGGAATCATACAAAATGTGGTCTTTTGTGATTGGCTTCTTTCATTTAGCATAATGCTTTCAAGGTTCATCTATGTTGTAGCAAGTGTCAGTACTTCATTCCTTTTTATGGCTGGATAATATTCCTTTTATTGCTGTATATTGCTGAAAATATATCACATATTGTTTATCCATTCATCAATTGGTGGACATTTGGGTTGTTTCCACTTTTTGGCTATTATGGATAATGCTGCTGTGAACATCCATGTACAAGTTTTTGTGTGGATATATGCTTTCCTTTCTCTAGGAATGGAAATACTGCATCATATGGTAACTCTATGTTTAACAATTTCAAGAACTGCCCAATTGTTTTTCACGCTGGCTGCACCATTTTACACACCCACGAGCAATGAACGAGGGTTTCCATTTCTGCCCATCTTCTTCAACACTTGTTATTTTCCGTTTTTTGTATTATGACCATCCCAGTGGGTGTGAAGTGGTGTCTCAGAGTGGTTTTGATTTGCATTTCCCTAATGACTAATCATGTTGAGCATCTTTTCACATGCTTGTTGGCCATTTGTATAACTTCTTTAGAGAAATGTCTATTCAAATTCTTTGCCCATTTTGTAATTGACTTAATTGTCTTTTATTATTGAGTTGTAAGAGTTCTTTATATATTCTGGATACAAGTCCCTTATCAGATATGTGATTTACAAATACGTTAACCCATTCTCTGAGTTGTCTTGACGTTACTTTTGTTAACTGATAAATCTGGACTTCTCTCTGCATATTTAATGCTTCCATACCCTCTTAACTGATTTGCACAAACTCTCTTTCCAGCCTCTATTTCTCTACCTTGCTCTCCAGTCTGTCCACCAGCCCCTGCAGGTCCCTGAAGAATACCTGAAACCATACGACTTTATCCAAGACAAGAACAGGCGTCACTATGCAGGAATGGTGACCCTTATGGATGAAGCAGTGGGAAATGTCACCGCAGCCTTAAAAAGCCGTGGGCTCTGGAACAACACGGTGTTCATCTTCTCCACAGGTAAGTCTGTCAATAGGAAAATCATCTCTTGGCAAAGCCTAGGACATGGTATTCGATAAATGGAATGAAGACAAATTGGAACATTTAGCAGTTCCTTATTGAAATAAATGCTAACTGCAAGAGTGGAGACATGATAATAATGGATAGAAAGATGTGTCTAAGGAAAAAGAATTATGGGCTTTCCCTCCCTTCCTTCAAATATCAAAATATTCTGGGAGTATGCTTGAAAACAAGTGCTCACTGAGTAAATATGAGTGGACATCATGCATACGCAGAGCAGCTGGGCAGTGAATCCCTGGAGTGGCTTGTTCTCAGCAATCTCTACAGCCCAGGCATCCACTATGAATAGGACTTCCGCTGATTAGCAGGGTCTCTGTATCAGTGCAGAGAGAAAGACTGTGACACTATGAAGACAGATAAGAAACGGAGCCATTTAAATTTAGGCTAGAGTCTCTGAGTATAGATTTTTTTTGTATTAAAATTTTCTCATGATAAAAGTCGTACATGTTGATTATAGAAAACACAGAAAAGAAGAAGGAAGAAAGAAAATTTTTGAAAATCATTTTCATTATGTCAGTGTCATTCTATTCCTAATCTGTTATAGGTGTGATTTTTTCCCCCTCTCATTAAACATAGTTTTCTAAAATTTCCCTGTGATGTGCTTTGGGTGTAGATCTTGGTTTATTCATTATGCTGAGTACTCAGAGAGCACTTTCTATCTGAAAATGCAGATTCTTTCATTATGGGAAATTTTCTTGTATTATTTATTTCAGAATTGTTTGGTCTTCCATCCCACTTTTCTCCTATTCTTTCTTTACAAAACTCCTGTTATTTGGATGTTAGACCAATCCTCTAATTTTCTTAGTTTTTTTACTCTCCTGTTTTCTTTATTTCTTTTCCATTATTTAGGAAATTTCCTTATCATTATTTTGTAACTGTTCTGTTGAATTCATTGCAATCACCATACTTTTTAGTAATCAAGAACTCTTTCTTGTTTTCTGATAATTCCTTTTTGTAAAGTTCTGTTTTTATAGATGTAATAATTTGTTTCTCCAAAGCCTGTGCTCTTAACGATTAATTTTATATATGTGTGAGTGTGTCTGTAGGTGTGTGCATACATATACTTATAGGTGTATATGTATACACATACATATATTTTTACATTTGCTTGGACTCCCAACATTGTCTCTCTTCCTTCTAAGGTCTTTGTATCTTTGTTTTGGTCTGTCTTTCATGAAGGAGGCTTTTTCAAATCGCTAGTGATCATTGGCTAAAACCTAAGAAGTTGACTGGAAACTCCAAGGGTAGGGTCAGGGCTTGTCAGCTAGTGAGTTTTACTGTAAAGTGACAGTGTAGGGGGTGGGAGGTGACATGTTGAGGAATTAATCTGGGTATTCTACTCATAATAGTTTTCTTTAGAGTGGTTTTGTTTTCCTTTTAATTAGGCATGGTTATTGAATCTAGCATTTATTGAGTGCTTAGTAGGTGCAGGACATAGGTCTAAGTACTTTACATGAATTAGTGCAGTTAATCCTCACAGTAATTCTCTGGGGACTATTATTAACCCATCTTGCAGGTGTGAGAACCGAAGCACAAAGATGCTAAGTACCTTGCCCAGGGGTCACCCACCAGGCAGAGCCAGGCCTCACCTTTCTGGCTCCGCTGCAGTCTCCTGCCACTGAGACGATGATCTGGATGTTCTTGTTGGACCTCGTGATATAGCAGAGCTTTCCCTGTGGTGTGCTGCAGTACTGGTGTGCTGAGGGGCCTGGGCGGGGCCAGGGGTGGTGTCCACCATGAGTGCCCTGTCCAGTTTCTTGAGTGCTATATCAATACTATAATTTTCCACATATGCCCTCTGTGAAAAGGGTTGAATATAAGATAAAATTTGTTTTCCCCCCAAAACTTATCCTTTAAAAAAGAGGGAGACATCATATGCTTAAGTCCTTACAAGATCTCATATTCTGCAAGTCTTTCTCAGTTTACTTTATTTTGAACAGCCTGGCAAGGCACTCTGATCAGTGCTGGTATTGAATGCTTATAGAGGCCACTAGAAATAATCAATTAAAAAAGGAGGCTAAGACGTTTAATACTGATTTAGTAGTTATTCCTGGGAAATGACCTCACAGTTGCAAGAATTGGAAATTATAAGTTTATAAAACAAGCCTTTGTTATACAGACCATAATTATACAATTTAAGGATAAATGATTTCCTGAAATGAAAGTATATATGGATTAATGTATATATATAGACTGAAAGGTGCTCAGACGGAAGTGAAGATAGTAGCTCTGGAAAACTGTTAAATATCTCAGAGTGGCTCCTGTGACGACAGATATTGATGTCAAGTATGCATGGGAAGAGGTGAAATAAAATTTTTTCATGATATCTGAGAGTGGAAAAAAAAGCAATGTTTTAAGATCAATGTATCTCTTTTATTGTATGTTTTTAAATGTGCATACCTAACTATATTTTAAATAGCTGACTATTTCATAAACATCCATAATATATTTATTATTAATTCAAGTTGGCAAAAAATAACTTTTGGAGCTTCTCACTGAGAAAATGGGGATTACCTTATAGTAGGGTTGTCTTGTGTTCTGACACTATGATATATTAATAGATATGATAGTCTTGCATCATCTTTGCTTTGTTGGGCTAAATCCAATTTTATTGTGTGTATGTATTTTTGTTATGCTGCTGAATTCGGTTTGCTAGGGTTTGTTTAGGATTTTTCGATCGATTCAGAAGTAAAAGTGGGTTTGGTGATTTCTTTTCTCTCTGTCAGGTTTTTTTTATCTTTATTATGCTCACTTCGTAGAACAGTTTGGATGGTTTTCCATCTTTTTCTATGCTCTGGAAGTTTACAGGTTGTTTGAAAGATCTCTCTGGTTAAGCTGGTCCCTGGGACCTTTTTTGGAGGCTTTTTTTTTTTTAATTATCTCCATAGTTTAAATTTTTTGCTGAATTATATCTGGGTCTGGGTCTTTAAAATATTTTAAAATTAATTTTGCCTGAACTGTAGTGAGCCCTTTGATCTGCATGCTGAGATTATTTTTCACTCCAGGAAGTTTTCTTTGTTCATATTTTCACTTATTGCTTTTGTTCTGCTTGACTTATTTCTCAAAAACATCTTTAATTAGGAGGTTGAATGACCGACTCAGCTTTTCTCTCATTGTTTTCAGTTTTTTGTCTTTTTTCTCAGTCTCCTCGAGCTCCTCTGCCTTACCTGTTAGACATTTTTGCAGTTTTAACTCTGCTCGTTACTATCTCCAGTGTAGATTATCATTGTGCTTTTAGTTCCCTTGCAATGCTTTCTTTGCCTCAGTTAGTTCTGTTTTCCTCTAGGCCCGTTAGTAATAATAATGGCTACTGTTGACTGAACGTCTGCTGCGCGCCCGCGCCCTGTTCTGGAGCTCGTCCTGTGCTTGCTCATCACTGGCCGTGTTGCAAGCGTTACAGCTCAAAGTAACCCTGTGAGAGAGGCTCCTTTATCCCCAGTTTATAAATGAAGAAATCACAACTTAAAGAGGTGAAGTGATTTGCCCCAGGCCACTGCTATGGGCTGAACGTTTGTGTCCACCTGAAATTCACGTGTTGGAATCCTAACGCCCAGTGTGATGGTGGTAGAAGGTGGGGCCTTTGGGAGGTGATTAGGTCATGAGGGTGGAGCCCTCCTGAATGAGATGAGTGCTTTTAAGAAAGAGACCCCAGAGAGACTCCTAGCTCCTTCCTCCATGTGAGGACACAGCAAGAAGGTGCTGGCTATGAACCAGGAAGAGGGTCCTCACCAAAAGGTGACCATGCTGGCGCCTTGATCTTGGACTTCCCAGCCTCCAGAACTGTGAACAATAAATTTCTGTTGTTTCTAAGCTACCTAGTCTGTGGTATTTTGTTATAGCAGCTTGAACGGACTGAGAGAGCCACACATCTAACAATTGGAAGAGCCAGAATTCAAACCCAGATCTTGAGGTCAATACCTGTTAACCCTAATCAAGTGTGCTTTTGTATCTCATCTTCTCCTTTTACCTCATCCCATTGTCTCTTGTCTCTACTTTTGGCTTTCTACACTTCTGTTCATAGAGCCCATGCTTTTCCTGAATCTTTCTGACTAGAACTTTTCGAAAATCTTCATTTCCACAGTAAATCATTCCCAGCTGTAGACTCTTTCTCTGAGTATAAGCGGTGAAGGCTCTATGCACAGAGCACATGGTCGTCTCTTGGCTTCTGCTCACTGTTCCCTGATTAATTCCTTCTCAAATCTGTAGCTTGAGGTCACACTGATGCCCACAGCTCCCTCAGTTCCCAGTGGCCTGTAGGCGTTGAACCTCCTCCAGTCTATTGAACCTGACGGACCTGCTTGACATGTTTCTTCTCTTTTGGCTGCCTCGTTCTTTGACCTGCTGAAGTAACCCCAGCATGCATAGCTGCCAGACTCTTCCTATCTCCATCCCTCAGGGCTTTACTCTTGGGGGCATTTCCCAAGATACAGTGTGCCCCACTGTCAGACCCTTTCTTCTCCTGCCCATTTTTTCCTGGGATTTGTGATCTCTAACAGTATATAGGAGGTGGAGGAGGTAATACTTCTCTGGTCATATCAAAAATTGGCACTGTCCCCTCCCAGGCTGCCTTCCTGCCTCTTTTCAGGTAGGAGGGGTGGCTCTGCGTCCTGAGGCAAACAGGGCACACCAGCCCCTGTTGCCCAGTCCAGCTTCCTCAGTCTTATAGCCTATGGGAATTGCTCCAAGAGTCTGGCATTACAGGTTGTCTGTCAGTCTTGGTTTTTCTCCTTGTGGTGAGTTTCCATCTTGTTCTGTGTCTTGGTTATGTTAGCAGGATGTTGGTTGAGAGAAGCAGCACTGGTGGCTTTAATGAGGAAGATACTATCTTAACCTGGGTTCCTGTCACTGCAGCTGGTCTTTGTAGTTGCTAAACTCCAGGAATCCTCGTGGAAATCTGACCCTGAGTAAAATGAGTAAAATAGAGCCAACTCTGGAGCAAC